ATACATTCCTGGCCCCTGGCCTTCTTCCAGTCAGTGACAGTTTTGAAACCGTGAGCATGAGTAACATGACATTTCCAAACAAAATACTTGGGTTTTACAGAAACCACATAGTTTTGCACATTCCCTGAGAAAGTCATCAGTGTAATCACATGTTCTAAGAATGATGTCATTCAAACATTCTGCATTGTTTTGCTTTAAGAGGGCATGAGGTACAACAACATCCGTCCACCTGGAATGAGGTGCATGCCCTCAATTATGTTGATTTAGTATCTCAGACATGATGTTTATGACCAGGCCTGGGAAGAAAAATGTTGTGTTTTCGATTCCAGTCCAGAAAAATGGGTAGGTAGATACACGTGGAGTCTCTCTCCTTTTTCTTTTTTTTCAGATTTCGCCTAAAATGATCCAACAAAAACAGTTCAACCAAGGAGCTTTAAATTCAATGATTTTAACCTCCTTGGTTCAACCAAGCAAAACTGTATTGCATCATCAGTACCAGGACTGTGTCAAGGACCTGTTGCTTTGTTTGCTTGTGGGGAAGTGACAAAATATTTTTCCCGATTTTCACCCGATAAGAATGTGGTTCAGGCTGATAATGCATGCAACCACATTTCAATGTTTCATAGGGCTTGAAATTCAGATGTCAGATTGATAAAATTCAGACGTCAAACTTTATGGCCTTAATAAAACTAGGCTGGGACTGGAAGGTTTCAACGAAACACAACATTTTTTTTCTCAGGCCCAACTGCTTCATCTCTTGTATCCTTGCCCACAAAGCTATTCTTGCTCTGTGACCAAAAATGGATATCACAGTCTCAGTACAAGCGGAACACAACAAAGATATATTTAACAGGAAAGATACATTTTTTTATTCATATCTGAAAATAACCACCTGCAATCTACAGTTGGCATAAAAGTTTTGCTCATCACAAAAAATGTATCAACTAATTGCAGGCTCAGTAATATGAAATACATATTGCAGAAAAAAATTCAAGCCCCAATATCTCTACCAGCTGCTAAAAGTAACGTTTTAAAGACGTAAATTTTTCAGAAATTATTAATTTGCTTATTTCCATACCTCACATGGCCGAGTCCATGCATGGTGTACTAGAGGTCGGCTTTTTAAGTCTGCGGGACAAAAACCTCCCCTATTAGCCAACAATGCAAACAGTAGGGGAGGGAAAAGGTGACTCATTGCCTATTTAACTCTCCCTGTACAAATACAGACAGACGGTCAACAGAACACACAAAGGACACCCGGCCCCAACAGTCACAAACTCAGCACTAGCAGAAATGAACTTGGGTCTCTGTATGTTCAGTTGATAGTGTGCACCTAGTAAACCTACATATTACATCAGCATATTAAGTATGCACATAGGTATATATATATATATATATATATCTAGAGAGAGAGAGAGAGAGAGAGAGAGAGAGAGAGAGAGAGAGAATACATGGTAGAAAATACTACTGAATGTCTCTTTTCACTCTTTGGAAATATATACTACAGTTGTAAGTCACTGTACTAGTATTTACTGACTAACACTGTGGTTGGCCATAACGTGTGAAACCTTACACAAATACAACTACAACAGGCGTTGGGAGCGGCAGTTTGAGCACAGGAACAAGTCAGTCCTGTCTACAATTCCACAAACAAGGGGGGTGATACAATGGTTAATTGTACCAATTGAATGAACAACTACAAGTATGCTGAAAGAGATGATGTATGAAATACTGTGTTTGCCTTATGTCAACATCATTATGGTGCAGATCTTTTTTTCCCAAATGATGATGTCTTCATTTCTTGCACATTCAGTACAATGGTGTACTTGGTACATGTTAAGCTGCAGACTGTACATTGTTCACATCTGTTGTGTCCACAGGACATTTGTTTGTTTCTGTGTATAGGCTGTTTGAAATTTTTCCCACAGTCTATAACAGATTGAGAAACATTTCCCATTCAGTTGATTCCTCTGTTTACAACAAAAATCACTCACAACAATTTTTTCTATCAACATATGGATACACTCTTGACCTTAGTTCTAACTTTGACTTGTTACATCTTTGTATCAAGCTTCTCTAGTACTTTACGAAACAACTTTGAGAACAAAACCTTTAAACAATTGATTTGCTTCCATCATCTTGTATCATCCATAGCTAATAATGATTCATATTATGCTATGGAGGTACATCACTACTTTGGCATGGAGAGGAGAACAAGAATTTGGAGATGTTTGACTTGTTATTTCTTTGTATTAAGCTTCTCTTCTACTTTAAGTTAGAAAACAACTACAAGAACAAATTTAAACCTTTCAACAATTAATGTGCTCCCTTTACCATTTATCATCCATAGCTATGAATGATTCATAATATGCTATGCATGCATCCGGTCATTGCTACTTAGGCATGGAAAGGAGAACAAGAATTTGGACCCTCCCCAACTGACAACTGATAACATTAGTGGTGGGCAACTTACTGAATACCAACAGGAACTTCTGCAGTGTACCTGCACTTTCTTTCTGATTCATCGCACATGCGTATGCCACATTGCTATGCAGAGCAGCAGGGCAATGGCATATATATGGATTTGAGTTGGATCAGCAAACTTGTCTGGCATGACTGAAACAGTTCATACCGGATAAATGAAAAGGGAGACCCAGACAAGCCGATTATGGTGACCTATGCTGAATTTGGTTCCAGTCAAACTGAAAACAAAATTCAGTTTAACTGCCTGGCTATAGACTATGGAATACTGTCCATCTCTCCCAGTGTTTTAGCCAGCCTGAAATGTTTTCAGTCATTTCAATTTTGTTTCACATAACATCATGTAGGGTGCCAAGGTGCAACACTCCTAGGGGAATCTGAGGGTATGGTCCCCCATGAAAATTTTGAAACTTTCAAGTCTTGACCCTCTAAAATACTATTTCCTGCATTTTGAGGGGAAAATTTTGCTGGTAGACTAAGCTTAGCTTAATGACATCTCTTTCCATATCTTAACATTTTTGTCTCTCAAAAATGATGATTTTTGTCTTTCAAAGATGACAAATTAAGCAAAATTATGTCCATCACGAGCAGGAAAATGACAGAAATATGGATGCTTGCTAGAACACTGACCTATGCTAATATTGCCTCCATCCTTGGACTCAGTGCTAATCAATCTCAGTTAGAACCCTTTTACTTTAATACCCTTGGGTAAAAGCCAGACATCCACTTGAAATCCATTCTTCACGTTCTGCTCTCAGACTTATAAAACATCACAAGTGTACTCACCACGAGTGGAGTCAATGCAAGAAACACAGACTCAAGGAGCTTACATGTACATGGAGAATATAACATGGTGTATTCCACATCACCCAAACTGAGTGTGATGCAGAAGACACCATGTTGTATTCTTTTTATTTCATACCCATACAGGAAAGCATGCATTTCAATGCGAAATGAGGCAAAAGTTGAGAAAAGCTGGTGTTCTCAAGCAAAAAATCTGCAAAAGTCTGAATCTGGTGTTTGAATTTTCCACAGCGGCACAGTACAAAGTGTGTTTCTTATACATGCAATTAGCAGTCCATGCACGGACCAAAACAACTATATCAAACATATCGTGGCCCAGATGTGGGTATATGATACAAAACACTCTTGTTCAATGTTTTGGTGACAAAAATTTTACCAACATGTATCTACAAAGAGACTTGCACAAAGGTTCTTTATCACTAAACAGTGAAACTTTCTTTATAATTATACTTCTTGTCACTCAAGTTCCTGCAAGTTTTACTCACAGTCATTCCTACATATGTCTACCTGTTGCTGGAAAGCATACATCAGTTGAATATGAAAAATTCCAAATGTAAATAGCAATCTATATTCAGAATGCACTGGTGCTATGACCCTTTATCTGAATCAGCCACATGTTACACGGCTACCTTAACAGTCAGAGCAGAAACTTCTGTCTCTGTGATTGAGGAACTTTCTGAACGTAAGTTGAATTCTTAAGCCAAAGGTGATTGCTTTTCAAGGGCCCCTATCAGGTACAGTTGTCCAAACTCCCAAGTGGTTTGAGTAAGCCACTCCATCTTGAAGAGAGGCTTACTAAAACTCTTGGACTTTTCCTTTCTACCAATTATGCGTTAGTATGCAAATATATGCAAATTTATGCAAAGACGTCCCTCTTTAGCTATATAACATGTAACTGTGAATAAAAAATTTGGAATGATACACATGACTCCATATAGGATTTTGAGGCCCGTGTTTTTTCACCCTGTTGCTTCAAATTTTTCCTAAAAAATCTGGGAACCAACAATTTAAATTTGCTTTGGCTTTATATATGCTCAAAATAAAAGAAGCGCTATGCAAGAAGTGTCTATCCTAAATCAACAATCCGAGCTGCATCTCTTACAATTGGCATGCCACACAGCCAAGTACCACTTGATTATATCCTTGATTTGCAAGCAGACAACCATGCTTCCATTCCCTGAGGCACCTTCAAAGGCTCACTGCCCAACAAATGCTTTGTGATTTATTGTAAGAGGAGTCTCCCAAAACTCCTATCACGCCCTCCAGGAAATAATCACGGTTGTTATTCTTTTAATTGCCATTATCATATTACCAAGAATTATTTCCTTATGGGAACGATACCCTCCCGTGCTTTTGTTGACAACTATACTATTACTGGGAATTAAAGTGTACGTAGTAATCCTGTTATGGACTGCAATATATACAGATAATTAAGATTCTAGACTGACAACAATCTGTTTGCTGTAGCTGCAAAACGGCAGATCAGTTTCACAGACTGGGTGCAACAGAAATAACCGAAAATCCAAAACGCCCAATGACGTGAACTCCTGCCTTTTTCCTCTATGACTACTAAAACGATCGCTGTTTTCGCTGTTTGCTACAGTTAGCAATCAGATTAAACAAGTGGGAAAGGTGATCACACCCTGGCGGAAAAGGAAAGTTAAGAAGATTGAGGCTAAAACCTGAGGATTGGAAGGGAAGCGTGGGGTACTTACTTCCTCCAGCTCACAGCAGTTAGAAAATGAGCGGCATGTGACGTTATCACAGTCAGGCCAAGGCCAATGATCAAGTGCCTAGCGTTTTGACACGTCTATTTATACACAGGGAAGGCTGCAGAGCAGGAAATTGATCCTTTTGTTTGCACATCTACCACAGCCTCACCCAATCACAGGACAGAATTTTCCTCGTCCTTGCCACTCCCCATTTTTGCAAGTTCAAAATCAGACGTATAATGTTGGTTCCAACATGGCCTGTGCTACATGGCATTTGCAGTGGTGCCTGCATTAGCCTGCTGAGGTTCTGTTGGGGGATGTCTTATGATATTACCTCAGAATTGACATCCATTTTCTCCTTACCAGACCCCACGTACACTTGAATTTTACAAGGAAACTCATTATCTGGATGTCTAACCTTCATCCATACACACTTGAATTTGTTTTTTTAGTTTGTCCAATTGATGTCAATAAATACACAGTACTTAAGAATTTTGTCTCTGATTTTCATCCAAGCTACATTTTACCTGTGATCCTCTTTTTGCGGGCTTCTTTACTTGCATTGCTAGAAAATTGATGTTAGCATTTTAATAGCAGGGCTCGAAATTCATTTTTGGGAATAGGTGCACTGGTGCACCAAACCTGAAAAATTAGGTGCACAAATTTTTTTTTTCAGGTGCACCATATAAAACAAAACCTAATTATAGATTTTACTGCTCCTCTTCTGAGCTTGAATCTGAAATGGGAGCTAACTTCGAAATCTTAAACAAGAACTACAACAAAGATTTTATTATTTTTCTGACACTTAGATGCTAGGAATATCCTGCATACTATTATAATGTGATATGTACAAAAATACCTACAAAAATATTTGGGTGCACCAGTACTACTGCACCCACAGCAAAAAATTAGGTGCACAGTTCTAATTTGGGTGCACTATGGTGCAAATGCACCCAGTATTTCGAGCCCTGAATAGCAACATACTTGTATGGTGTCAGCATCAAACACAGTAACGTTATATCACTCACTCACACTCACTGCACGGCTTAGCGTCCGTTGTTCCCCGTTAATTTTATATGTTAAATACAATCAATCTAAGCTTGTAGACTGCATCCTTATAATGTTCATTAGGATGCAAAAGGCAAGGAAATAGAGACAAATCAAGGCTGAGTATGAGCATGACCCAACAAAAAAGTTCAGTAAAAAAAAAGTCCTTCATAGCTAAAAAAAATTACCATAAAAATCAGCAGATGTCACCAGATAACCAAATATTGTTCCTTTCCCAAAAATATCAAAACAGGGCAAACAAAAAATCATATCCTCTTTATGTCTTATATTTCTGATTGCAGAAGATAATGCATATATTTATTCTGAAGCTTGTTGTTTTGTTTGATGTTTTCCTTACTACAAGATTACTGTGCAAAATGACTTCTGTCAACAATAACAACAGCTGTGTGACATGTAACGTTACATGTATTTGATCTAATATCAAGGAGACAACACCATCCAACTCCCATGATTCTTGATGTTTTGGCGGCAACAGAATACTGGAAGCCATCACCTTCTATGATTTTTTATTCAAAATTCTAAAATGTCACCTTTCCATTTAAGGCTAGAATCTCTACACTTCCAAATACTCAAATCCATGGTCTGCTACATGTACATGTATATACACTGCAATATGTTTCAATCTTTACATTTTTCTAGCATGTTACGATTGCGATAACATAGATTTATATGCTTACCCCCCCCCTTGTTTATAATAACTATAAACACTACAGGGTAATTTTAGATTAGTTTAGACTACATGTAGTTGCAATTATATAGTATAATTACTGCATTCAGCCCATGTGGGCAAGAACAGGCCATAAAGATCGTTCATTCTTTCATTATTGCCTTAGTTATTCCATCACGCGCCATGAAGCCAGTGGTAATGTGAAGCGTGCAGCTGACTTGCCCGTGCCCGATGTTGGCACAGTTCTGGGCTCACCAGTCATGCTGGGCACGTTCTCGGCAGACAGCCCTGCCAGACGGTAATAACAACCAGCCTACCGTCTGAGGCCGCCCCATATTTCATCCCCTCCCTTCCCAAAATGGCACGCCCGCACCTGTCCATAACGGGAGCGCGGCTACGACCATACCGTACAAGCAGACATTCAAGAAACTATTAAACGGTCTGGGGAAAAATAAAAATTTTACCTCCCATATATCTCACATATCGATTCCTGATGTCTGTTTTGTAGACTGTTTCGGTCCTTTTGTTGATAGGATTAGCATCATAAGCTATGTAATTAACTGATGAATATGGGATACTGCTATTCTCAGCAGCACAACATGAAAGATGATGATGATGAAGTCTGGATTGGCTGATGAGTCTGCCTACTTTGTGATAATTATTTCTGAACAGCAGACTGGAAGGGGACCACCCTCCCCCTGCACAATTACTCCTCCCTCTCCCTCTCTCTCCTCATGAAGGTCAGAACGCAGCCTTGTTAATTGCTCAGGATGCTAACAAATCATTTCTAGTAAGAGGAACAGTACAGGACAAGAGAAAATTGAAAATACAGCCCTGTATGCATGTGAGAGGCATATAACTGGTAGGACATACACACATGTGTACATACATACATTGTACATACATGGTAGGTACAAATTACGTTATAAAAAATCAATCATTCAACCAACAATTTTATTTTGCTTTGCAGTTAGATGTATTAAAATATGTAATGTTTATCCAAGGAAGCTTTTAATTTTGTTCAAAATAACAAATCGTGGAGAAAAATATGCTTACATGTATATTATATTGTTGAGGTTAGCTGTTGTGGCTGTGTAACAATAGTCAGTATCAGGTCTTTCCTTTTACCTGGCAACAGAAAAAAACATTTAGCAATTTGTGATAAGCTGACTGCCTTTAGTGTCAGAAAGGCACTACTGATATTAAAGAGCTTGGATAGGTAAAGGACCTTTGGCAGATCCTGTACTCCCGCCCCACACACTCTGACTCACACCAGAGTCCTTCCGAAAACAATCGCTGCCCTGTCTACAGTAGGTGTTCCTACCCACTGTGACTCACTTGTACTATCGCCAAGACGATAACTAAAGGTTACATTCCTGCACAAACATGGCCAATGGGGTGCCAGAAGAGATAACCATTGTCATCCCCTGACTAAACTGTTGGACGAAAATTGTAAACAGTACCAAATCAGAATCCTGGTTTTGAACTTCTGGTCCCCTGATGATTCATTACTTAACTTCCAGTTTCAGTTTTTTAAAAGGCAAAAGGTTAAAAGTGTAGTATGCATTTACCTGCTATGAAAACTAATGACAATGTATTTCAAAATCAAACACATTGAACAGGAACATGGCACAAATGCACGAACATGTACTTGTGGAGTCTTGTGACTAAAATGAATCAAATCATGGACATGTTTTGATTCAAAGGCTCAAAGGCAAAGGAGGGAAAGGTTGACTTTGGACCGAGACATTTGTAGCAAACCCCTGGATTGAATGATTACGGTATTCATGAAAGCAAGCACGATTATTCAATGTTCAATGTACCAGAGCTTGCAAGAACTTGGATATAACCCCTTTAAAACTACACAACTTAGACTAGTCCCAGAATCCCAAACAAGGAACTTGAATCTTTGGCTACAAATCAAAGACTTCATGCAAGATTAGTGAATAATTAAGTAGCTCCTGTTTCTAAACTGACTATAGATCATGCTGCTACACTCAATTTCACATGTCACTGGGCCAAAGGCTTTCAGAGCCTAAATCTAATTGGCTAGAGACAACAGGAAGATGAATTGTTACAAAATGTATGATTGGCAAAAGTTTTCTCCCTTAACCAATGGCAAACTATTACAAATTTATAATCAATGCTGAATTATACTGACTTTAATAATTCCCTGTCATAAATGTGTTTCAGTAATTGAGAGATTTTAGTTTATAGATTTTAATCAGTGTAGATATTACTCCCTATTGATTCATATTCTGTAGACATATAACAGTTAGCTACAATGTAGTTGGTAGTACATGAATTGAAGGGCAAGGTTGCAAAAACAAGGAAAAACATTATATTTATTTAAGGCCACACCAATTTAATTTGTTGGTTCTCGGATTCGCCTCTTCGTTTTTTTTCTGATTTGCAAAAAAAAAAAAAATTTGATTCTGGTCCTGAATCAACTGAAAAATGCTCATGTTTTGTCCCCCAACAGTTGAGGAAAGTCCTTTTCTTCCTAGTTGTTACAGTTTTCCCATCTATCATTGCAGTGGTTTGATTAAAAGTTCAAAATTCAATGTTTAAATTGTAACCCAGCCTTTTGTGTTGACTTCATGGCTCATTCCATAGCATTTAAGCCTATAATAGGATGCCTACACCTGTTTTTATTTTTATTTTTTTTCGCCCTGTCGCTTCATATTTTTTCTGAAAAAATCCGAGAACCAACAAATTAAATTGGTGTGGCCTAATGCCCACTTCTTTATTCTACGACTTCTTTATTCTAAACCTTACTTAGAATATCAACGTTTGCCGCAACTTTTGTGTATTAGTTAATTAAACATTGTTTTCATTCCTTTTTGTCCCCTTTTCTTGTTTTTGCACGTCATTGCTTGTTTTCGCATTTGCTATACACTGGTATGAAAGCAGTCCCATACCTCTATCTAGGATACAAACACACTAGAAATAGATGTCCCTGATTGAATGCACAATTTTACCACAACAATAAAGGATGTACCAATCCCACATCGTGTAGAGTCTGGGCTTAGATCAGGTTTAGGAGAGACAGGAAGAAGGGACTGCGATAGGTTGAAGGATGGAGGGATTTGGAAGGACTTTGTGATGCACGACAGGGAACGTGATGGGCTGTTAGAAGTTAGTACCACGTTTAATGTTTTTGATTCTCAAGAAATTCCCCACAAATAAAATCAGTTAGCTATCTGTATACTAACAATAATGTGCTTAGATTTGAAACAACAGTACCTAAACTGCTTTTGGTAAGCCAGTTAAGCACCAAACTTGAGGTACATACACTTTTATGTCTATTGGATATCCTCTTGGCACTGTAGGAATTCAAAGCTGGCAGTGCACCAGGGGAGAGAAGATGTTTTGATCAGATCTGT